TAAAAAAAAAAAAAAAAAAAAAAAAAAAAAAAAAAAAAAAACAACGCTGGGAGTGCAGCCCAGTATGAAAGCCCTGGCTTCAATCTCCAGTACTGGGAGAAAAAAACCCACCACTTAATACCTCTGACTCTTTGACCACATCTGTCTTCTTCTTTGCATAAAATTCCATGCTTCATACCCTATCTTTTTATTTTTGGAACCAGGAAACAAACTGGGGACCTTGAGCTTGCGAGGAAGGCAGCGGAACCACTGAGCTAACTCCCCGGCCCAATGCTCTAACATTCTTAAATTAATAATCACACAATGCTCGGTCCCCACATTTAGACCCCCTCGGCTCATTTGCACATCATTACCTGATAACCCCTCCTACCACAACCCTGTCAACTCCCCGCACAACAGCACTCAGCAGCACTGCACTGAGTGGCGGGCAAAGACTGCTATGCTGCAGGCCTCTTTCCTTCCTTCCTCCCTAGAGACACCATGCAGTGGGCCCCGTACCTGGCACAGAACAGGCTGCCTCACAACACGAGGGGCATTCATACATTGCTGTGTGGATTCTGAGGCTGCAGCAAAACCTGAAAGCTCCCCAGGAGATCAGGGCACATGCTGGGTTAGGAAACAACTGTCTCCGAACACACCTTCACGTTTCCACGTCCTGCCTTTCACTGTCCTCACTCTTCGGGGTATCATTCCCTGTATTCTCTGCCTCTAAGTCCTGCTAACTTTCAATAAAAGCCCAGAATCGTTCTGTCTCCGGTCACGGTATCTGCAGGAACACTGAATGATGTCAATGTTATACATGCAACGCCTTGTCAGTAAAAATAATATATTCAGAAATGCTTGGCTTGTTCAAAAAACAAACTGGGATTTGTTTATCATTTATCTGACTAATAATTTTCTAAATATTTCCTGGTCTGCTATTTATTTTTATTCTGTGAAGTTTCTATTCACATCTCGCACTCGTGTATCTGTTTACTGGGCTCATTCACCTGCAGAAGGCCTCTGGATATTATGCATCTTAAGCCTGTGACACATGTGACAAATATTTTCTTCCAATCTTTGATGAGCCCTTTAACTACATGACAGTGTCTTTTGCTCTATAGAATTGGCAGATTGCTTATGTAGTAAGGAGTCACCTGAGGCAGGGGACCTGTCCCTTTCCATGGGGACTGTGAATTACTAACAGGTTTGTGGCCACAAGTCTTAAATGAAACATGCTTAGCAGCATACTTCCTGCTTTTGTGCAGTAACGCCTGCCCCTTTGTGCCACAAGGATGAAGGGCGTCTGTCGGTGTCCTGAAATTCTCCTGTGAGAACGACCTACAAGTTCACCCTGCCGTGCACTTTACAGAGATGAGGCTCGCAAGACTAGCTGACGAGTGTTTCAATACGCCTAATTTCTCATTCTGTGTATGTTTAGATAGCTCTGGAATAAAAACGTATTTAAAAAAAAAAGTCTAGGCCAATTTGGGGGCATATCCTACAACAACTTCTAGCAAGAAGAAATAAAGAAAGTTTGGAAAAAGCATCTCGAGATCCATAAAGACATACTCAGCAGAGCCTGCGTGAAAAACTGATATTCATCCACACCACTGTCGAGGTCGAGTGGGGTGCTGAACCCTTCCAGGGCGGTTTCCTCCAGCACTTCTCCGTCCCAGTCATCCTCCTCCTCGTCCTCCTCCTCCTCACCCCTCCTGCTATTTGACTGCACAGCTTGAGCACCCACGTTCGTCTCCTCCTCGTCACTGGAGATCTCCTCTGTGAATCCATTCATCATTTGGAAAGAATCAAACACAGAAGGACATAAGGTTCCGTTAAAGAAAGGTTATAAAATTTCTGGAAATGGACATTTTAACACACAATGTTACCTAGAACTATAAAAATAAACTTTACTGTAGTTTTCCAAATTGAGAATGCCTTCATCCCCTTTGAAAACAATTTCCCTAAACCTGTGGTCCAGCTGAGCATTAGCGACTGGGTTTTGGCTTTTTTTTTTTTGGTACTGGGATCAAACTTGGGACCTTTTGCTTACAAGGCAGCTAAATCCCCGGCCCAGCTGACCATTAGTAATGTTATATTACGGCTGCCCCATTAATACAAAAATGCTTTTTAACTGCACAGTCCCCATCACTTCTTTTTGTGCAGTCTGTGCGCATGTTTTAAGCAACAATGACCTCGCATCAACAATTAAGGTCTCTTAACAATTAACTAAGCAATGATGAACTGCTCAGAAATGCTCAAATGAGGAGGTCATTTCTGTCACACAAATAATACAAATACAAAAATGTAAAGAAAAACAAAGAGGTAGGGTCGGGGATTTAGCTCAGTGGTGCCGCTGCCTGCCTTGCAAGCACAAGGACCCAAGTTTGATCCCCGGTACCAAAAATAAATAAAATAAAGAGGTAGCTACATGTCTTGGAAAAGTAAAAAACCAAATTAATGTCACCTATTTTCAGTACTAATCTGTTCAGTTAGATGTGCACTGCAGCTGGAATTCTGTAATCAGAAAGCAGTAAATACAGAATAAACATCAACCTAAGAAGAAATCCTAGAGTAAATCTAACCAAGGCGATATTAATCGAAAACTGGTTCCATAAAACATGCCATACTGAGACTACTGGATTAAACATGGGTAGTTTTAGGGATAAGCCAAGAAAAAAATAGTTTTGGACTAGATGTGTGGAAAGAAAAATAAAACATGTCAAAGGTACGATTACAAAGGTAGCAAGAAATAATGGCTGCTAGTTAATCATTCCACACTTCAGTGGGAAATTTAACAAGCCAGTCTGGGGATATTACTAGAAACTCTTCCTTCAAGCCATTAGTTAGAAGGTAATAAATAGGAAAACAAGAAATTAGAGAATATAACATAGCAAAAAACCAATTCTACAATTATTGGTATATGCTTAGCCTCCCTCCACATTAACAAAAAGAAACATCTAGAAAAAAAGTATTACTTCAAAAAACCTACTTTGAATTCAGATAAAACAAATTAGAAGGTGTTTTGTGTTAGGAGTGGGAGAAGGACAGTTTAATATCTGTGTAGATGAACAAACTGACAATTAAATAAAGAATGTTTTAAATCTATCCCTGCTAAAGTACAGACTATAGCATAAAAATAGACATATGTGTTTTTCTAGAAGAGTTATGATGTTTCTTGGCAAAAAAAAATATGGTGGAAACAAAGTCCTTGTAAATAGGGAAGGATGAAGGGGGTAAAGAGAAGGCAGGGAGTGGGGAAAAAATAAGAACCAAGACATACCACGTAAAGGCACAAGACCCAATGACAAATGTAACTGTATTGTTTGCTTTAAATGTACCAATAAACTTAATGGGGGGGGAGAAAGAATTTTTTTTAAGACAGATGAGAAAAAAACTCTACCAAAGAGATGGATAGTGCTACTTTCTGGTCCCCAGCATGATGTTCTATAATCTCATCATTAAATAAAATAATAGTCTAAAAGTCTTGAAACTAACAATCTCTCAACCAAGCAAATCATAGTTATGTACTGTGTTCTAAATTTATATGTAAAGCATTTACGATTTTTGAAGATCAATCACATAAGTATTTTTTGTTTTCCTTTCTTTTTAATCAGACAATTTCTATCAATCCATTGCCCTGGCACTTCTGTTCTTAGTGTTTCATTTAATTCAAGGCTGCTAAATATATTAGCACAAACAAGAAAAATGAAACAGTAGAATCCTAACCTGTAGTCAAGACTATTTGATCCTGATACAAATATATTTCCCAACCTAAAACAATACCCATTAGGATCCACTTAAAAATCATGGCAGTTTTAAGTGTCAAGAGACACACAAAGCTAAATTTATCCCACTTAAGATAATCACTTACAAGTAACCAAGCCCATGGTATTTGTCAATGTGCAGTACACCAATGAATGTAAATCTCCTTGATTCTAAACCAACTAAAATGAAAAGAAAATGCAAGTTCAATTCACAATCAATACCAACATGCATTGTAATCAGAAAACTTTACCATTTTCTTCCATATCAGCTTTCTCTGCTTTTGAATGATCTTCCCGGTTTACCAGTTGTCTAGTAGCACAGACCTGCTTTAGGCCAAGGAAAAGGAAAAGAATTGAGGGGACAATTTGTCCCACCACAGCTTCTACTGCAGGAGGTCGATTTTGTAATTCCAGAAGGATACTCAGTCCTATTATACACATCTTCCGGTCATGATGCCTGCAAATTGTGAAGAAAAAAAACATACCCATGAAAAATGCAATAAAGGGGTTGGGGATGTAGCTCAGTGGTAGAGCACTTGCCTGGCATGCACAAGTCCAAGTTCAAACCCCAGTACCACACACATAAAGCAGTAAAAGACAATACCCACAGAAACTAAAAAAAGAAATGCCCAAGACATACTCTAAGATTCATCAGAATTATACAGAAACAGTCCCAATTTTGTACTGTAGGAAGTGTTATAGAAATCAAATTTTGTGAACCAATTATCACCATCAAGGACCTATGGGAACCTGAAATTATTATAATAAATCTTGCTATAATATCAATTTGTGATTAGGGCAAATTCTCTAAATGTTGGCATCATGAATGCTGTTGAAGTAGAAACATGTGCATTTGACAACATAAAATTCCAATACAATGGGGAAAAAATGAAGTTCCCCAGACTCCACTGCCATGAGACTGTCTTTAAGGTTTCTTGGTACAGGTACTCTGTAGTAACCCAGGTGCCAAAAGCACATTCACAAACCTCACGTCTAATGTGCTGATCCTAATGGCTATGAGTAAATCTGTGAGTATCCTCTGCTACAGCACAGCATACGGAGAATTCAATCCTGAAGGAAAACTGGCCAACTGGACATCAAACACTTTTCTATGAAGTGCTTCTTGAAAATGTTACAAGCTAAAGATATTAAAAGACTATTATATTAGTAAACTACTCTTAAAAGAGCAAGCACGAAGAAAACGATCGCTTGCCATGATTTACTTAAAATGAGACTGGAACAAACTGATGAGTATATCATGAGCTACTGTTATTCTGTTATTCTATTACCCACATTGCTTGCTTATTTAAGTCACCAGTGCCCAAGCAGTAGAATATGACAGGACCTGAACTTGGCCTGAAGTTTTTCTCATTCAGGTATTCCCTGACTTGTAGTAAACACCAGATGTAACTGGTCATAGCAGGGAGAGGATTCTCTAGTGGGCCTCTACAGAATCCAAAAAAATCGCTATCCAAGGATGGCCACCTATGCCACAGCTAAAAGGGACAGACAGCCTTTCTATCTCTGAAAAATTGCTGGCAAATACTGAAAAACACATAGAAATATGGTCATGTATGCCTGGATGAGACCTTCGGAAGCCAACAGGCTGCTCGCAGCAAACAACAAGCTATTCTCAAAGAATGGGACAGACAGCCATAAAGAAAATTCAGGACAAAGTGCACAATCCCCTCGGCACTGAGAACTCCAGTGACTGTCCCCTGCACTGCCAGTCCTTGGACCCCTCAGTCATAAACATTCTTTATCATCACAGCCCCTTCCCGAAAACCTATATAAACGGACTTTCCCAGCTAGCTGCTGAAATCTACTCCCAATTCCAGTCTCTATTCACACTTGGATTGGAATAAACCGTTTTTTCCTCGCAAAGGCTGTCTTCATGGGGCCCCACACATGCCATTTATAATAAATACCAACTGCATAACTACACGAACACATTTCTCATCTCTACATCTTTGTCAGAGATAACTTTTAGTGTAATTTCTTCTTGAAGTATATTCTTCTCCTCAAGGTTTTAACCTTATTAATATTAATACAGGATAAACACTCATGTTATGTCTTGTACCTAGATGTCCCCCAAAACCCTCAGGTAGCCATAGGTGGGGCTTTTTGGAGGTAGCTGGATCTAGGGCAGTGATGGTAAACCTATCAGAGCTTTCAATGATAACAGCTGGCTGCAGCACACATGTGAGAGGTTCACCGCACTGTTCTAGGGTGTGTAATGTCGGGAGTAACGGAATGTGAGGACTAAATTAGTCCCCTGATTGGTTTAGCATAGTGCTGGGTGTGGATGAGGGGAAGGCCCACCATGGGTGTGGGTAGTACCACCCAAACAGGTAGTCTGGAAGGGATAAAAGGGAGAGACAGGTTGTTACGGCTAATGCCGCTTGCTGTTTTGCTGACTCCTGCCTGCTTGCCACAGTCTGTTTCTCCTCTGTGAGGTCCCTCTGCCATGCCACCCTGTCTTGGAGCCAGCAGACTATGGACTGAAACTTCAACAAGTTGTGAGCCACAGTAAATCCTTCCTTCTTTAACTTTGGGTGTCAGGTATTTCGTCTCAGCAACGAGAAAAGTAATTAAGACAACCAGTCTCCTAAAAAATACATAGTATAGTATAGGGCACACATAGCATCTTGTGAATACACAAATACATTCACCCAATCCTACTCGACCAGCCTAATCCAGCCCTTGGCCACCTCCCACCCCCATGGCAATGCTAATTCCTGCTGGATGTCTACTCTCAGCAAACTTTCTTCAATGATATATTACAAAATTTAAAAAGAGCACTGGTTATTTCCAGTACTTTCAAACAAATTAGACAACAGTCTAGCTCAAATCCCAGTACAACATGGCCACTACAATGTTTGACCAGAGATGGGCACATAACCACTACTTGGGACCTCACCTTTCCTACATTTGAAAACAAAGACAGTGCTTCCCACAAAGCCAAACTCTCCCACATGTGGAGCACTTGCTGTAAATACTCCTGCTCCAACCCCACACTTGAGAACAGGCTTTCTGGAGATCTGCAAAGAACTATAAACACCCTGGGACACTCAGCACAATTATCTTTGCCCAACTGGGATCTTCCTGAAAATCCTGACTCCATTCACCATGTTTAGCCACAAACACTTACAGTCTCATAATCATGGACATTTAACTCTTACCGCCTAGGTATGATACATATAAGTAAAAAGCAAATGGAGGCAGGACTCTTAATTATCCCAACCTGCGTTCTTTTACTAGATTATATTGCTGAAACACAGGCTTAATTCTCTAAAAATTAAATAGTATGTTAACAGTCCACTAAATACAGCTCCCAATTATTTCTGCACGTGTACATATTAAAAAGTAAACTTTGCAGAAATAGTAAAGTAGTGTGAAGTCCAAAAGGCACATACCCAATAAAATAATCCGTATCATTCATCCACTGATTTACAAACTGTACAGTAATAGGTCCAGGGTTGTGAGGCAGCCGAACTCGTTCTAAGGTGTGTAGCAGGAGATCAGGGTTGTAGTACAAGGCAGCAATCGCAACCTGTAGACACATTGTACGGAGCTCACTTGTTTTGACCCCTCGGGTTAATCTCTCCAGAACAAGTTGGACAAAGAGTGGAATACACTAGAAGACAAAAGGAAAACGAGAGTCAGCTGCACACAAAACGATCAAATCACTCACCGCGCACTGCCTGCTGGTAGAGAGTTTTAGCAGTAAATAAGAGTCTTGAAGGCAATATATGTTTACTCACATCATTTTTAGGAGTTATTTACAAGTTTTATATTCCCACAAAACCCAGAGAGGTGAATAAATAAAAAGAAGTCCCAAAGAGTGCCAGGAGCTCTCCTTCCTCCTTAACTGCGCAATGGCTTTAGTGGAAGATCATCCTGTAAGAGTCACACTCCACTGGCAACAGCTCACATGTGGACCTAGCCATTTCTCTGGTTAAGGCAAAGTGATGGCAGCAGGAGTTTTCTTTGACATATCATATTGGAAATAAATTAACAGAGAATAACTCTGATACATTCAGATGTCTTTTGCAAAAAAAAAAAAAAAATTCTACTAGTATACATAAAAGATGAAAAAGACCAAAAAGAGGTGAGTTCCATATATTAAAATAAAATCATCTGACTCCAACTACAACTCTCAATTTACTTCTCACTAGGTATAAAGTATTCACAGTTCTGACTGGACAGCATAACACATGTATACTACAAACTACATTAAAAATTAACACCAGGCCGGAGATTTAGCTCAGTGGTGCCGCTGCCTGCATCAGGAGCCCAAGGTCTGGACTTTGATCCCCAGTACCAAAAAAAAAAAAAAAAAAAAAAAATAAACACCCCGGAGACAGGGATTTAGCTCAGTGGTGCCGCTGCCTGCATCAGGAGCCCAAGGTCTGGACTTTGATCCCCAGTACCAAAAAAAAAAAAAAATAAACACCCCGGAGACAGGGATTTAGCTCAGTGGTGCCGCTGCCTGCATCAGGAGCCCAAGGTCTGGACTTTGATCCCCAGTACCAAAAAAAAAAAAAAATAAACACCCCGGAGACAGGGATTTAGCTCAGTGGTGCCGCTGCCTGCATCAGGAGCCCAAGGTCTGGACTTTGATCCCCAGTACCAAAAAAAAAAAAAAAAAAAAAAAAAAATTAACACCACGGAGACAGGGATTTAGCTCAGTGGTTCTACCGCCTGCCTCTCAAGCACAAGGACCGAGTTCAATCCCCAGTACCAAAACAAACAAACAAACAAACCCACCATGATCAAGTAATTAGTTAAGGAACAATGAAACCACAAGGAATGTAAACTGAGTTTGAAAGGATCTTTTTGAGATGCTTTAAAGTTGCATTTTAACAAACATTTATTATTACATGCAAAGTCACTAAGAATACAAAGAATCCTGAAGTTTTAATAACCTAGTAAAACTAAGATTACCCCTCTACATTATATTAAAACACAATCAACTGTGGGGACTGGCTGGACAAATTGCATGAATCCACAAATAACAGCACTACAGAGCTGCAAAAGGAATGCAGATCTCTGTGCATGACTGTAGTGTGAACTGCAAGATATACTACTATTCAAAGAAGGCAAGATGGGGGCAAATGTACATGGCACGTTGTCCCCGAAATTAGATTCAGCAGCTGGTAAAGAATCAGCCTTGACAACTAGTGCTCAGAAATGACAGCCCCAACCCGCCCATCCTGGCCTTGCCTGCACCACTGTTCTCTTGTGGTCACTCTGTAAGGTGACTAAGGGGAGGAGAGGCTGACTGGGGCTTTTTTTCTGGGGGGGGTACTGGGGATCGAACTTGGGCCCTTGCACTTGCGAGGCAGGCAGCGGAACCACTGAGCTAAATCCCGGCCCGACTGGGGCATTTTTGATCTCTAGTTGTCAAAGGTGATTATTTTCTAGCCAGGTCTTATTTTCAGGGCAAGTGGGTAGTGTGCTGTTTCTCTGAGAAGATGAGGAGATAATGGAAGTCTCTACCATTTTTTAAATGATAAAATGAACTAATAATGGGGGAAAACCCACGGAAGAAAGAAGGGTAGAATGGCAAGAGATGGGAGCTGGACTTCCCTGAATGTACTTTATTATATAAATTAGACCGAGGGCCATACACACGTGCTATATATCCATTAACTTTTTGAAAAGCAATTTAAAATTAGGATAAAAAAGAAAATGGATGAGGGATTTTTAGTGGCTTTATTTTATAAATTTTATTAGGACATATTTACAGTACATAATGATGTCATTCATCATGAGTGGTTGATACTTGTATATATCTTAATTCTTTTTACTCTCTGATTTTAAAATTTCATTATTTGACTGTATTTTGGACTGAAACACCCCTAGAGTACAGGCATACTTTGGGGTTGAAAAGCATTCCAAATAATCTTAAAATGTTAACAGTAATCATATGTGAATAATAATATCAATTATTTTGAGACTACATGTATGAGGTAAAGAAAGTACGATGAGAGCCAAGATTTTTGGTGTAATTTATACAATTAAGGATCAATTAGGTTAAGGAAAAACAATGTTATCCAAATCTGAATTAGAATTATCTGTGCATCTTAATACATTAATATTTTTAAATATGTATTTCCTGACTCCTCTTCATAGAATGACCAACTTGATAACAGTGAATATACTGCACGTCTATATAATCTATACTCATTATTACAGGTGGGGCCTCCAGAAGGTGACTGGATCATGAGGGCTCTCACCTCATCACTGGATTAATCCACTGATGGGCTCAGAGTTTGATGGCCGTATTGAAGGCAGCAGAACCCGTAGGCAGGGGGACTGGCCAGGGGAGGTAGGTCACACTGGGTGTGTCAGCAGTTCTCTGTTCGAATGTTCATACCACGGATCTGGAAACTTTTCTGTAAGTAGCTAATATTTTTTTTTTAAATTTATGTGCCACACATAATTTCTATTGCATACGCTTGTTTTCTGTTATTACTGTTAGTGCTGTTTTGCTTTGTTTCCTTTTAACGACACTTCAGAATTCTACAAACCATTCTTAGTTTCGAAGCCATACAAAAATAGGTTGGCCCACAGACCACAGCTTACCAAATTTTGGTTTACAAGATAGATTCTAAACTCTAGGCATGGATTTATCTATACTTTTCTGAACTTGTCTTTTCTTACTGAATCCTACTGTTCAGAACTCTCCACAACCCAATCGTGGAGCTAAACATGTCTATATCCCTTTTCAGCCACACTGTTTTACCTGCTTATTTTGTTAACTTCAAATTTTCTTTTTACCTCCACTATCATCACCTAAAATACAGGAAAATGACAAAGAAAAAAGCAGCCTTTGAAGATATCTTGTTTTTACATGTAGATGTGCCCCAAAAGCCTCTTGTGCTCACAGGCACGGCTTTTGGAAGTGACCAGATAGATTATCCAGGAGCCATCACTGGTTTGCTGTTAGAAGATGGGGCCTTGCTAAAGACAGGTCACAGGGGTGTGACCTTGAAGGCCCCTCCCCCGGTCTCCATCCCCTCGGCTTTCTAGACACCATGACCTGAGCTGCTTTCCTCTGCAGCCCTCCACCACATCACTGACCATGCAACGACTGAAACTTCTAGAGCATGAGCCAAATTAAACCACTCCTCCTTTAAACTATGAAGGCCAGATACAATCCGTATGACTTTATAAATTATAAACGGTTACAAATTTTTGTCAATTATACTTCAATAATGCCTGTGAAGGAGGAGTTGCTCTCAAAAATAACAGATTTTGTTGGGAAACAAATAAGAGGGGCTGGAAGTTCCTCTACTAAGTACAGTGAGATGGGCCAGCAGTGAATCAGGACAAGCCCCAACGACAACTCTGAAAACTATACATCACCCATTACATACGTTTAAAGAATAAAGGAAACCACTCTTAAAGGAAGCTCTGACTATATTATCTCAAACTGTCAATCTCAAAATATCAATAAGGACAGACATTATTTTTAAAAAGATGCAAAGGAACTTTTTTTTTTTTCAAAAGGAACTTTTGAACATAGTGCCATAAGCAAAATTAAAAATTCACCATAGGGCCGGGGATTTAGCTCAGCGGTTCAGTGGCCTGCCTTGCAAGCACAAGGACCCGAGTTCAATCCCCGGTACCTCCCCCAAAAAAAAAATTCACCAGAGGAGCTCACAGCAGATTAAAAAATGGCAAAAGAGAGAATTAACACAGTCAGAGTGATAAAGATTATTCAATCCAAACACCAGAGAAAAAGGGAACACAAAAAAATGTCCAAAGCCTCAAGAAATGGGGAACACAATTAAGCAGACCAGTGTACATGTGAAGAGGAGCCCCAGAAGGAAGAAAGGAACAGAAAAAATGTTCAAAGACCTAATAGCTGAAGACTCCCCATTGTGACAAAAATAATCTTCCAAGAAGGTCTGAGATTCTTAGTAGAATATACACAGAGCAAGCGAAGTGCAAATACACAGTAAAAATGCTGAAAGTACATACATCACCCCAGCAAGCAGGGGAAGCCCAACAGAATCAAAAGCTGTGGGTCACTACTGCTTATCAGAGACAGCAGAGGCCACAGGCAGGGAACAAAGTAAAGATGTCCTCAGATAAGAGCAAGAAAACTTACTGCCAGCAGACCTGCCTTATAAGAAACACTAAAGGAAGTTATGCAGGATCAAAGCAAGTGACCCAGATGGTAATTCAAAGACACACACACACACACACACACACACACACACACACACAAAGGAGCATCAATAAATATATTAAATTATAAAAAATAACAATATTTCTGACTTCTCTTAACTTTTTAAAAAATCACCTGCATAAAACAATGTTTTATTGATGGGCCTCTAATTTATAGAAACATAATGTACTTGACATTAACAACACCAAAGAGGTAGGCAAGGTTTTACTGGGACAAATAAATGACACTACGTGGTGACTTGAATGCACAGGAAAAAATGAAGAGAAGCAGAAGTAGCAACTAAGAAGGTTAATATCAAAAACTACAAACACATATTTCACTGTCCTTTTTCAGTTTTTTTAACACAAACTTACAAATAATTATAAAAGATGCTGGTTGTAACATATAAATGTAATATGTCTAATACAAAAAGAGGCGAGAAGAGAGTTATACAG